CTGGGGATTGAATCTATGGGCGCTCTATCTCTGAGCTATATCTCCAACCAGCTTTATTTTAGTTTTAAGAGAGGGTGTTGCTAAATTGATGCAGCTGGCCTTGAACTTGCCATCCTCCTGCCTCAGCCTCCCAAATCAGTGGAATTACAGAGGCAATTCAAGGAACTCTTGCTAGATATAGTGGAGCATGCCTGTAATCCCGGTGAATCAGGAGGCTGAGGAAGGAGGATGGCAAGTTCAAGGCCAGCCTGACCAAATTAGTGATACTCTGACTCAAAACAAAACATAAGAAAAGGGGTGGGGGGTTGAGGATATAGCTGAGTGGAAGAGTGCTTACCTAGCATGCGCAAGACCCTGGCTTCAATCCCCAGTACCACAAAAACAAAAATAGAAACAAAACAGGGAGTGGAGCTAAGAATATGTAGCTCAGTGGTGGAGTGCCCCTAGGTTCAGTCCTCAGTACTGCAAAAATAAAAAATAAATAAAAAGAAAATTAAGGGGCTGGAGTTGTGGCTCAGCAGTAGAGTGCTCGCCTAGCAGGCGGGAGGCACTGGGTTTGACCCTCAGCACCACATAAAAATAAATAAGTAAAATAAAGATATTGTGTCTAACTACAACTAAAAAAAGTATGTATATAAAAAGAAAATTAATAAATATATACTTCAATTGAATAATTGATTTAGACTTGGACTTTTATTTAAAGTCTTACTGAGATTGTAAAAGGACCAAACATTATAAGATTAAAAAAGAGCTGGAGAGTGTGGCACATACCACACTGGATCATAGATCCCAGCAACTGGGGAGACTGAGGCAAAGGATCACAAGTTCAAGGCAAGCCTATTTTATTGTACTGAGGATTGAACCCATGGAGCCACATCCCCAGCCCTTTCTATTTTTAATTTTGAGACAGGGTCTCACTAAATTGCTGAGGGCTATTTTTGAATTCTCCATCCTCCTGCCTCAGCCTACCAAGCTGCTGAGATTGTAGGTGTGTGCCACCTCGCGTGGCCTCGGTAATTTAACAAGACCCTGTCTCAAAAATAAAAAGTAGGTGGTGTACACCTGTAATCCCAGAGACTGGGGAGTCTGGGGCAGGAGGATTGAAAGTTTGAGACCAGCTTCAGCAATTTAGTGAGGCCCTAAGCAACTTAGCCAGACCCTGTCTCAAAATAAAAAATAAAAATCACCAAGAATGTGGCTCAGTAGTAAAGCAATCCTGGTTTTAATCTCTGGTAACAAAGAGAAAAGAAAAAATATTAACATTTGCCAGACTTATAGTTAGAACAATATGACTGCTAAGTTTAAAAGTTTAAAAAATACTTATTTTTTTTTAAATTTGCATTTTAAGAAGCTGAGTATTTTTATTTGTAGTATTAATTATTTTTGGTGGTGCTGGGAATCAAATCCAGACCCTTGAATATACTAGGAAAGTGGTCTATCACTGAACGACACCCCCAACCCTGAGTATAAATTTTTAAAAGCCAAAGGAAAAAAAAAATTGTGTATGATACTGAGGATTGAACCCGTGGGTGTTCATACCACTGAACTACGTCTCCAATCCTTTTTCTTTTTCACTGAGACAGGGTCTCCTAAATTGCTGAGGCTCACCTTAAACTTGCAATCCTCCTGCCTCAGCCAACTGAGTGGCTGGGATTACAGGCGTGTACTGCCACACCCAGCACCAAAGTAAATTTTGAATAACTCTCCTCACATAAGGCAAGGTCAGTGATATTAAGGAAACTTATAGCTGCTTTGGAAAGCAGTCTGGCAGTTCCTCAAAGAGTCAGCAATTCTACTTCTAAGTATATCACCAAGAGAACTGAAAATATTTTCGATAGAAAAATTTGTACATCACCAGGCATGGTGACACATGCCTTCAATCCCAGAAGCTTGGGAGGCAGGAGGATCACAGGTTCAAAGCAACTTAGCAAGACCATATCTCAAAATAAAAAAATTGAAAGGGCTGGGGATGTGGCTCAGGAGTTAAGCACCCCTAGGTTCAATCCCTGGTAACAAAACATTAAAAAAAAAATGCTCACGAATGTTTACGACATTGTTCCTAATGGACCATCCTAATGGACCCAAAGTAGAAACAACCCAACTCCCCTTCAACTGTGGAATGGATAAACTGTCGAATGGATATACATGTTAAATGCATACCCACATTAAAAAAATGTTGTTTGGCTATACAAAGGAATGATGTATTGCTTTTAATTTTATTTTCCTTTTTTGTTTTTTTGAGATGTTATGCAGGCTGGCCCACAAGGCTCAATGGATTACCCTTGCCTCAGCCTCACGTGGCTAGAAACACAGTACTGCTAAATGCGGTAACATGGATGAACCTTGAAAACACGTGGGACAGAAGAGGCCAGAAAAAGTGCACAGATTGTGTGATTCCATATATCAACTGCTTAGAAGGCAAATCTGTAGAGACAGACAGTAGTCAGTAGTTCCATAGCGCTGGGTCTTGGTGGGGTGTGGAAACTGAGCAGGATGTCAAATGGGGACAGGGTTTCTTTTGGAATAAGGAAAATGTTGTAAAATTAGATTATGGTGATGATCACAGACTCTATATATACTAAAACCCACTGAATTATATACTTAAAAAGGTGAATTTTCTGTTATGTGACTATCTCAGTAAAGCTGACAATTAAAAAATAGGATTTAAATTTTTCCCTTCTATAATTAATCATAGCACCAGAAATCTGATGTAGCATTATTTTCAGAGTGACTTCATATGCCTCTCCCCATCTGATCCTCATAATAGCCTCTGATAGGTGGCATGATTTTTTTTTTTTAAAGGTGGGTCCTGGGTATTGAACCCGGGTGCTCTTTACTACCGAGTTCCATCCCCAAGCACTTTTAATTTTTTTTTTTTATTTTGAGACAGGGTCTTACTAAGTTGCTCAGGGCCTTGCTAAATTGCTGAGGTTGGTCTCAAACTTGTGATCCTCCTGCCTCAGCCTCCTGGGTTGCTGGGATTTCAGGCATGAACCACCAAGCCCATTGATAAGTGGAATTTGAATGAAGATTTATGATTTCGCTATCTTGCATCATTTCTAGATCAGACCCCTTCTTCCTTTGCCCCTGACCCCTGGTTCAGTGTGGCACAGTGGGGCTGATGCAGTCCCTGTGGATGTGGTCAGATGACCTGTCCTGGACAATGAGAGAAGCCCATTCTCCTAAGGTCTATGATTCCTTCAGCGTTGGGCCCATGACCCAAGCTGGAGCAGTGAAACTCAAGCCCTGGGACTCTTGGAGGTTCTGCATGGTGTGGTGAAGTAGAGTCCTGTAAGGCTGTAACTTAGCATCTTTCCACTGCAGGGAGAACGCCTGACAGAGGGTGACACTAATGGAGAAGAAAGCAGAGCTGAAGGAAGATACTCTGAATCCCTGGATCCACCTGCGCTTCTCCATGTTTTGCTTTCCCACCTGAGCAGTCAGGAGGCTGTTCCTCTCCAGATTCTCCTTTCGGGTTAAGCTACTCTGTATTGATTGTTTGACACTTGTACCTAAAAGGATTCTAACTCACTGTGTCCTCTCCACTGAAAAGTGAAGAAACAGGACAGGGAATTGACCTGCCCGTGGTCACTGGGAGGCTGAGTGACAGAACTAGGACTGTAACCAGGCCTTGAAGGTGAGTGACACCTGTTGTCCTATAAGCAGGTACACGCGGTGTGATTGTTACTGGGCAGTGCCAGCTTCAGGAGAGGCACGCGTCTTCCATCCTTCAGGACAGACAGCCAGGTGGGAGAGGTCCCAGGCCCTGGGAAAGTGTTCACCAGCCCAGAGACCCGCCACCAAAGGCTCTTTGAAGATGTGAAGCTGGGCATCCCCAGAGTGACCTGCAGAGTCCAGAGCCTGGTCCTCACCTGCCCAGAGAGCAGCAAGCCAGACACGTCCCTGAGTACACAGAGCCACCTTCTCTAGGAGGCGAAGACTGTGGCCCATCCCAACCCAGCCTGACTCAGGACGGCCAGAGCCAGTGCCAGGGTCCCTGGCCTGGGGTGAGGGATCCTAAGAGGGGGCTGAACTATGACCAGGGGGGAATCTGTGCTCTAGGCTGGCCAAGAACGTGTGTCACTAAGCCAGTGCTTCCTGTCTTCATTCCTACCTTCAGTCTGGCCATAGCCAAGTTTCACTTTTTCTTTGTGTTTTCCCATTTCAATAAATATCTACAATCAAATTAGTGTCACTTGTCAAAAGTAAATATTGGCCCCAAAGAGAAATACAAAGATGATGTTAAAGTTTAATTAGAGACAGGTACTCAATTCAGGCGTGGAGCTGGAGTCTGGATCTTTCTTTTCACAGCGGTGTTAAAGACAGGCTAGAGCCAGGTGTGGTGGTTCACTCCTGTAATCCCAGCAACTCAGGAGGCTGAGGCAGGAGGATTTCAAGTTGGAGACCAGCCTCAACAATTTAGCGAGGCCCTGTGGTTCAGTGGTTAAGCACCTCTGGGTTCAATCCCTGGTACAAAAAAAAAAAAAAAAGGCTGTGCCCTTGAAGTGCTGTGACCATGTGTAGTCACGCCCCCCACCCCCCCGCCCTGTGGTCCACCTCTGCATCTCAGGGTTTGGAAAACACTGAAGTAAGCAAATGATAAACCCTGAACAAATGCATACGGGTTGTGGAAAGAATACATTTAGGGTCCCACTCCTTTTTTGTTTGTTTGTTTAATTAAAACATTTTTCCTAGTTGTAGATGGACAGCATGCCTTTATTTTATTTGTTTATTTTTATGTGATGCTAAACATTGAGCCCAGTGCCATTCACGTGCTAGGCAAGTGTTCTGCCACTGAGCTACAGCCCCAGCCCTAGGGTGCCATTTCTGACCAAAGTTTTTCAAAGGTAGCAACCCCAAGTTATAGGACCTGGAACTGAGTAGGGAAAATGGTTAGAAAGTTCTCTGCTGTCTTCACTCACACAGCAGTAAAGACAAGTCATTGAGTAGTCAGACCTTAGTTAAATCATTCATTCATTCAACATTTATTGAGCGCCTACTGTTGTGCCAGGCACCGTGCTAGGCGCAGAAATACAGAGATGCATAAGATACAGTCCATGCCCTTAAGGATTCACAGTCTAGAAGGGGAGACAAACGTGTAAACAAGTAAAATAGGGTATGATAAGTGCTGAGAGAGAGAGAGACAGAGACAGACAGAGAGAGAGAGAGAGAGAGAGAAGCATTTACAAAGTGCAGAGGTAGCCTGGGGAGGAGGAGCATGGGTGCCTTGAGGGGGGGAGGGCTCTGGGGGAGATGAACAGGTGTTTGCCAGGCAGCTGAGGCAGGGGAGCGGGGGAAGGCATTCCGGTTCAAAGAAACAGCGTGAGCGAAGGCACAGAGGCATGAAACTGTGTCTCGGGCGCAGACTGCTAACCAGTCTGGTGGTATTGCTAGAGTTGTTCCAGGGGCTGTGGCTGCAGAGGGCAGGGAGGCCCGATGGGGAGGGGAAAGAGAGGGTAGGGGGCATCTCAAGGTCTTGAGCGGTGAGGAGAGCCCGAGGCAAGGCTTTGACACTTGAAGAGAAGGCTCCTGGCTGACTCCAGGTACGCCTGCTGGAGGACCAGAGGGTGCCTCTCTAGGCCCCAAAGGGACCTGGACCCGAGACTAGAGGAGAAGCAGAGCTAGAGGAGGGGGGAGCAGAGGGTGAGGGCCCAGCCCAGGGCCCTGGAGGCCTCCCCGGCTCCCACACTTCTGCATTCTGCTGCAGAGCCCTCCTCCCTGCCAGGGAGGGGCCAAGGGGCCAGTGGGAATCACGGGAATGGAAGTTCTTGGCAAACTGCCAAGATGAATGTCAGGGCCCCAAACCAAATCCTTACGAATTCAAAAGAGGAGAGGGGTTGAGGATACAGCAAGGGAGATTAAGTTAGACAGAAGAAGGCAGGCAGAAATTCCCAAGAGCAAGGGCCAAAAGGAGGGAACTGCACTGGTCAGAGGCAGACTGTGGCTCTCTCTCCTCTGGGAAGCCCTTGGGGCCCACGGCAGGGGCAGAGGCCAGCAGACAGGCCCAGGCCAGATATGTAGGGAGCTGTGGCTGGCCAGGCGGTCAGGCTCTGCATCTCAGCATCCGGGGTCTCCTCAGCCTAAGGCAGAGGTTTCCTTGGCAACCAGGACCCTCCTGCTTCTAGGCTGCCGGGGGCCCACGGAGGCTGAGATTAGAGACAGACTTCCAGGCCCTTGGGGTTCTGGAATGGCTCTGCCTGCAAAGGCCTTGGCAAGGTAGGGTGGGTGAGAGGCTGGGAGGAGGGGCAGAGGCCTAGTGACCCAGAGCAGGTAGCCTTGCAGTGACCACTTTCCCAAGGCACCATACCTGACACCATTTTACTGGGAAGAGTCTGTCCCTCAATCTTGATGGGGCAAAGGCAGAAGATGGACTTAGCCTGGTCATGGTTCCTGCCGCCCTAGTCTGGGGCTACAGTGAAAGCCAGGCCTCCTGGGGAAGGGGCTGACAGTAGCCTCCACATTTCCCTGCTGGCCCAGGAGTGCAGGAACAGAGAGGGACCTCCTAGTAGCAGGGTCTGGAGATGTTCCAACGTCCTTCCTTTCTTGTCACCCTTGATGACCAGCCTCACTCTGTGGGGTCTCCCAGCCTTTGGCCACTCTTGATCTCATCACCTTGCCCTTCCCCTCCCCGCGACCAGTGGGGAGGGGACGATGCCCACTGGGGGCGCAGGTGGAGGTGGTGGTGGTAGCCATGAGGAGGACAGTGATGTGCAGGTGACGGGCAGCCTCCCCACTGCAGGGAGGCTGGCTGGGGTGGACTGGGGGCATCACTTGCTCTTGTGCGTGTCCTTTAGCCTTCGGAGCTCCTCCAGGAGCTGGGCCCGGGAGCAGCCCTCGTCTGCTGTGGGGCCCGGGCCTGGCCCCAGAGCCTCCTGCAGTGCCAGGCAGTGGGTCCTCAGGAATGGGTTGTAGGAGCGCTCCTCTCCCAGGGTGGACGGGCACTGTAGGGTGAGAGGCACCAGGCTGGATGGACAGAGGCTGGAAAAGGGACCCAACAAAGGAAGGCTGCCCCAGCCCCCACCCATCCTGGGGTCCAAGAGTTCTGACTGGACAGGCCAGAGCTCTGCGGAGGTGTCCCCAGCCCCGTCTCAGTATCAGGCTCAGGATGGGCTGAGTGCCCACGCCGTCCCCTGGGCTGCCGTCCCAAGGGCTCCCGAGCTCCGCACCGTGCTCCTGCGCTCCATCCGCTGTCTCTGCACCCACTGCATCTTCCTCTCCCGGGCCAGGTTCTCGGGCTCCACCACGCCAGCGAAGCCCAGGTTCTCCTCTGCATACTCGTGACCTGGCAGAGCCACGAGGCATGAGGCAGATCAGTGGTGTGGCCAGAAAAAGTCCTCCCTGTCCCCAGGCCTATGGTTACCCAACAACCAGGGAGGAAGGCGGGGCTTCCAGGAAACCCACCCGCGGGGCCTGCTTTCCCAGCTGTGGGCACAAGTCAGTCAGGAGCAAGAGGCAGAGGCTGGGGGGCGGTGAGACACACACCACTAGGCTTGGAGCTGGGAGGAAACTCTGCCACTGCCCAGCATGTAACCTCAGTCAATGAGCCAGAGTTTTCTAGTTTGGCAAGTAGAGAAAACACTAATGCCACAGGGCACCGATGTCACCATTGGGGTCCCAGTGCCTAGAACAGAGCTTGGTTCATGTCAGGTGCACATTAAGTACCGTCAAATGAATGAATCTATGTTCTGAGAATTAATACTTATGAATGTTTTTATAAAAATACAAGGCAATGGATACATGCGGGATGCGTTTACTAACTTTTCTGGACTCTGGCTATGAACAATTAGACATCTCCTTGAAATGCTCTGGGTCCTGCAGGGCTCCCAAGGCCAAGGGCTGGCTGGTGGGGATGGCGGTGTGACAAGCAGAACCTTAAGGAGCCAGGACTGCACTTCTGAAGAAGGGAGGCGGAGCCTGCCCCACCCCTGGACGCAGAACCCTTTGTCCCTGGGCCAGAAGCTGGGTTGGCTCCAGCTCCAGGGGACTGAAGGGGTGGAGCACCCTGGTGCCAGGACCAGTGTGGGGCTAGAGAGAAGGGGAAAGGTGCCTCACCAGGCCACAGGAGGGTGTCATCGCCCAGCCCCAGCACAGTGTCCAGCGAGCTCAGCATGGTCTCTGCGGTACCCTCAAAGGTCCGTCCTGGTGGGGTCAAGGGCACAGGATGACACAGGATGATACTTGAAGAGGGCTGGGGACCAACTTGGAAGCTCTGGCCAGCCACCAGTCCTTCAGCCATGCCCCTCCCACCCACCTCCAGGAATTTAGCTCCCTCTTCCCACTGAGAACTGGGCCTGTCAGTCACCCTGCCCAAGGCCAGGCTCCATGCACACAGTGGCATCTGGAGGGAGGGGGCTGCAGAACCTTCAGGTTGGCCTCCCTCCTGAGGCCAAAGCTGGGGAGGTGGGGGGCTGCTCTTTTCCATGGGGGGCTTCTTTGCCTGGCTGCCCTTTGGGACTCTGCAGCCTAAGACATGGGATTGCCACCTGTCTGTAGATCTCCCCTCACTTAGGGGTCCTCAGCTTTCCACAACCTAATCCCTCTAGTCACTGTTCAGAGAGCCAGGCCCCACCCAGTGACAATAAGTGCCCCTTGAGGTCTTTGCTCAGGTGCAGGATCTTCTCTTCTGTCCATCCCCTGTGGAAGGCCTGTCCATCCCCCATGGAAAGTCTGGAGGATATAAAAAACAATTGGGTGCCAGGTGCAATGGTGCTTGTATGTAATCCTAGCGACTAGGGAGGCTGAAGCAGGAGGGTGATAAGTTCAAGGCCAGCCAAGGCAATTTAGGCAGACCCTGTCTCAAAATAAAAAGGGCTGGGGATATAGCTCAGTGGCAAAGTGCCCATGGGTACCAGTACCAAGAAAAAACAAACCAAAAAAATTGCGTGACACAAAAGCAACATACACGTTGTAACCAATACTTTCATGTGTGACATGGACTACAGCTGTCCTGTCTCTGTCCCAACTTCTCTCCACTCTCTCCTCTTTCGGGGAAACTCACCACAGCCAGAGAGGAAGAGCAGGTCCCCTGAGAAGAGGCAGGAGGGTCCCTTGTAGGGCTCCCCATCCAGCAGGTAGACCAGATGGCCTTGTGTGTGGCCAGGAGTGGCCAGGGCCCGGATCTGGAGCCGTCCCACACTGACCACATCTTGATGACACAAAGGGCTGGAGGCAAAGCAATGGGGAGAGAGGGAACTAGAGCTGATTCCCACTCCCTCCACAGGCCCAGGGGTCTGGGCGATTTGCAGGGGGTGGGCTTCCATGTCAGGGAAAAAGCACCTAGTGCCCAGGGTCAGATCCAAACCTTTCCCCTTCCTCTTTTGGGGGCCATAGCTGGGCTAGCTGGAGGGCAGGGAGTGCCAATCCTTACCTGGGCTTGGATCTGCTAAGAGCCAGCAAGGATGCCAACAAAGATCTAGCTAATGCCCTCTGCCAGGCCCTCCCAACCTGGGCCAGGGACTTACTGGGTGAGGTAGGGGATGCCGTCCTGAGGGCTCCCGTACACCCGACAGTCCCGGTGCCGACGGCTGAGGTCACGGTTCCCTCCACTGTGGTCCCTGTAGGACAGTAGAGATGGGCAGCCAACTGTCCCTGGGCCCCCTTTTTATCCAAAGCATCCCCAGGCCTTTGTTCAAGCTGTTTTCCTGTCCAGAATGTCACTGCCACTCCCACCGTCCCCGCTACCTGGCACCCCCCCCACCCCCAAAGAGCTCAGCCTGGCCAATGCTGACGGACCTTTCTGGCTCCTCTCAGCTCCAGTAATCATCCTCGAATTCTCACAAGTAGATCTGGTCACAGCCTGCCTAGTGCCTCCTATCCCCTACGCCCTGTGCCACCTGCCACTTAAATGTTCCTAACCATTGGTCCTTTATGCAGTGTATTCCCCTACTAGACTTGTTTGCTTTGATGGAAGAGATCACAAGGTTTGCTGGTGCCCAGTCACATACCTACTCCATGGCCTCAGAATGGAGGATGAGAGACTGTCCTGCCTTTTAAGATGGTGGTGGGAGAGCAGCCCCTTAACTCCACCCCTGCTGTGCTGGGTAACTGTGCTGACTTTCTGCCACCAGCTCTGGTCCTCTCTGGGCCCAGTTCTGACCCACACCCCTGCAGTGGGGCAAGGGTGGGCTAGGGAAGACTGTCTGCACCCAGACCCCCAGAGTCCCCCCAGCCCCTTACCAGTGCTTGTGGGTGCAGAGAATGGCAACCAAGGTAACTCCCTCCTTTTCAATGGAAGCCTGGGGAAGAGGAGGCACTGAGTCGGGGGAGCAGGACGCAGAGGGGGACAAGCTGAGAGGCCAGGGTGTGGGTGCTGAGGAGAGGAGAGCGGGACAGGAAACGGGGAGAGAATGGGGGGGCTGAGAAAGGGGGGGATGAGGGGGGCCCGCGCGGGGGGGGGGGGGCACTGGAAGAGGGCGGAGGGTGGGCACGGGGAGGGGAGAAGGGAGAGCGAGCTCTAGCAGGGACACGCAGGCACGTACACACAGAGAAACCGGGAAAGGGAGGGAGACCCCAGGACTGACAGAGAGGCCAAAGGGTAGTGGGGGGGGTGAGGGGCAAAGAGTGAGAGACAGCTTGGAAACTGACTAGACCCACAGCCCTGGGCCAGCACCGGTCTGCCCCCTCCCCCCAGTCCTGCCCCACCCCCCCCAGTCCTGCCCCCTCCTTCCAGTCCTGCCAGGGCACCCGCCCTCCCCCATGCTGTGGAGGTCAGTGCTCTCAGGCCTGCACACACACCTCCACATGGAGGGGTCGCACATCGCAGGTGGAGGGACCAGGGTCATCCCTTTCTAGCAAGGGAAGAAGTCGACCTCCAAGGGCGACCCCAAGTGCTCCCTGCGTCCGCCTCACCTGCACAGCTCGAGGGTCTGAGGGGTCCACAGCCACAGCCAGCCCGGCCTGGGTGTCTATGATGAGGTAGCTGTAGTTGTCCGAGAGGACGGGGATGGGAAGCACCTTCACTCCTGGGGGCACACACAGACAGAGATAGGCTGTGGGTGGGGAGCCCAGTAGTTCCGGGGAGTGAAGGGGAGGGTGCAGGGAGTGTGTCCCCACCCCTGAGGATGCCGGCCAGGGGCAGCCGGAGCTCACCGTTGAAGAGGCGGGGCTGGGTTTTGGAGTGGCCTTTGGGGTAGCGATTCCGGGCCCTGCGCAGCTGCTGTCTGTAGAAGAGGTACCCCAGCCAGGTGCGGGTGTACAGGCTGTACCTGGAGGGCGGATGGCAGGGGTCAGCCCTGACTCCCCAGGGTCCCCTTGTCATGCCTGCCGCCCCACAGCTCGGCTCCTCAGCTAGGCGATTCCATCAGCACACATTGCTGGCCTACTGTGTGCCCTGTCAGCACTCGGGGCAAGAGGGAGCATGGGACAGACACCAGGAGCTTGCAGCCACCCGGGGGACTGCGGGTTGAATCTACAGCTGACCCCCAACTAAGTGGGGGAGAGGAGTTAGGAGGTGGCCTTGAGGGAGGACAAGCAGCTCAGGAGGAGCGGGGCTGGTGAAGCCAGGCAGGCATGGCAATCCCCCCAGGACCTGTGAAGGGGCAGATCCCCGGGCCCAACCCCAGTTTCCACCTTCAGAAGGTCTGCGCTGAGACCCAGAAACTTCCATGTTGTTGCTGGTCCGGCAACAACTTTGAGACACACTGGGGCAGAGGAAACAGAGGCCCAGAGGCAGCAGACAGCAGGGCTTGTTTGGGGAAACTAGAAAGTTCTATTTGATTGCTCGGTAGTGGAAGCATCCAGAGGTGAGGCCGGATGACCCAATCCCCATCATCATTCCAAGCTGTCCTGGGCTCATTGGGAAAAGGCCACAGAGAGGACCATGGTGACAGTCTTCCAAACACAAAATGTCAGGATACAGAGGTGGCTTCACAGGTGTGCGGCCTATGCAGTTAGGAGGGCCCATTCTAAGACAGGCTCCATTCAATTTAATGCTCTGCTGTTACCATCTTGAAATTATTTTTTTGGGGGGGAGGGTACCGGGTATTGAACCCAGGGATGCTTAACCACTGAGCCACATCCCCTGTCCTTTTTATATTTTATTTAGAGACAAGGTCTCACTAAATTGCTTAGGGCCTTGCTAAGTTGCTGAGGTTGGCTTTGAATTCATGATCCTCCTGCTTTAGCCTCCTGAGTCACTAGGATTACAGGTGTGTGCCACAGCTCTTGGCACATCTTGAAATTATTAATAAATTTATCTTTGAACTTGCATCTTGTGAGTAGAGTCTGAGGCGACAATGGAGCATGCACCTGAGCAGAGGAGGAACACACGGTGGTATGAATAGGCTCCATTCCACTCTACCACACACATACTGTATTAGAAATGCTCGTGAGCACAGAATTCTGGGGGATCCCTACGCATGGAAATTCAAGAAGACCCGGAGTGACCACAGGTAAGTGCACATCTGTGACTGAGGGCTGGGGATGCTGGCTGACCCCAGAGGTCAAGCTATCAGTGAAACTAGGATTTGTTTCAAATGCACAGACAACTGTGTTCCAAGGAACGTGAATGACCAAAGAACCCTCCAGCAACCTCTTCTACTCTGTGACTTCCTAACTCATCAGTGCATTTATGATGCAGATGATGACAGAGAAGGGGAGGGAAAGATGAGATGACCAATCTGTCCTCTTTCATTCAGTCCTTCCTTAATTTTCAGTAAGTTGTTAGTACTGGTAGAAATAATAATTTAAAAGTTATCAAAAATGAAGTGTTTCTTTTCTTTTATGATCATACTTTTGACTTGTCATTGATTTGGGTAATACTGGAGATTGAACGCAGGGACACTTTATCTCTGAGCTACACTCCAGATCTTTTTTAAAAAAATTTTTGAGATGGGGCCTTGCTAAGTTGTTGAGTCTAGGCCCTAAGCAACTTGAACTTGGGATGCTCCTGCCTCAGCCTCCTGATTCCCTGGAATTACAGGTGTGTGCCACCATGCCTGGCTCTACATTTTAGTACCTTTAATGGCACTTTGTCCCTGCTTTTTAAACAAGAGGATCAAGATTTCACTTTAGGCTAGGTTTACAAATTATGTAGCCAGTTCTTTCAGGGAAGGGAAACTTTTAAGTTGGCTGGGGATGGGGTCAGGGGCAGTCTGCATGGGGCTGTATGTCAATCTAGTCAGAAAACAGGAAGGCGCTCTGGCTGTTGACGCCTGAGGCAGAAGAGTGAGTCAGGATGGAGGACAGACCCCAAACCTCTCCAGGATTTCTGGTGTGTGTTGTGGGGGGCACACTGAGCGGGAGAGCCTCTCTTCAGGCCCCCAGAGAAGAACTAGCTGATTTGTCTGCAGTTTGGCAGAAGCAAGCAGGCCTCCATGACAATTTGGAAATAATGGTTCAGCTGAAGTTTAATCAGTATCCTCCCTGCCCCCCACACCCCTGCACTTGGGTCGACTGGTAATTGGTACACTGAGGGGGCTTTGTGGTCTTTTATGGGTCATAAGGCCATTTTAAAAAATAAGTCCTTTATTTTGGCTTTATTTCTGAGTCAGTTTCAGCCGTTCATACTTCTGTGTCTTCAGCAATATTTATTGAGCCCTGGCTATTGGCCAGGCAGACCCTGTGTGCACAGGGTGCAGGGCAAAGTCACCGCCCAGGGCAAAGTCACCAGCCACTTGAAGCTTATGTTCTGGCAGGAGAAACAGGACAGTCAACAAGTAAAGATGATAAACTAAAACCAGGGAAAGGATCACGGAGGAACTGCCACGTTAGACACACTTTCCTAAAGAAGTTAGGCCTCTCTGAGGAGGGGATGCGTCAAGTCCGGGGTAGGCTGTGCAGTCTGCGGGCACTCAGGAGCAGAGGAAGGGGAAGTGCAACCAGCCCCTCCGGCCACCCGCTGCTGGGGACAGGCTATCCTTTCTGTGTTGTGCTGCTAAAATAGCTGAGTGAGCACAACAGAAAACAGATGGCAGGAATTAATTATAAACAGCACATGGAGGTTTTTTTTTTTTTTTTTTTAGAAAAAATGAGAAAATATTGTGTACATCTCCATTGAAAAGGCACTGAGTCGTTGAGAGTGGCTCTCAGTGAAAATACCAGTGGATCCTTAATAGATTTTGCTTGTGTTTTTGTGGTTACCGTTGTTTTGTGGTACCAGGGACAGAACCTGGGGGTGCTCTACCACTGAATGACTAATCCAGTACCACCTCCACCCTTTTTAAAAATTTGAGACAGGGTCTCCCTAAGTTGCCCAGGCTGGTCTCGAACTTGTGATCCTCCTGCCACAGCCTCCTGAATCTCTGGGATTGAAGGGGTGCAGCCCGGCACCTGGCTGGATTTTCTTCCTATCTGGTAGTGAACATGAAATACTTTTGGAGAGAGCCAGAGAGCCAGAGTAAGTGAGAAACTCTAAAAGAATCCTGTGGTTCAGAAATAAGATCCCCCCCAAACAAAAATTAAAAACAAAACCAAAAACTTTATTGTTGAATACTCAGATTGGTTTTACTTTCCTTTTTTAATCAACCAGCATAAAAATTACTACTTGAAAACACAAATACAAAAGATAGAAAATGGACTTAAAAATAAATGAAAAATAAAGCCAGGGGTGATAGTGCATGCCTGTAACCCCCAGGAGCTGGGGAGGCTGAGGCAGGAGGAGGCCAGCCTGGGCAACTCAGTGAGAGACCCTGTTGCAAAATAAAATAAAGGGCTGAGGGGGTTGTGGTAGAGCACATGTATCACCTGGTTTCAATCCCCACTACAGAGAGAGAGAGAGAGAGAGAGAGAGAGAGAGAGACACGAGGGGAGAGAAGGGGGGGGGAGGCAAAGAAAGAAAGAAATATATAAACTGAAAGATATATTAAGAAATAAAAAAGACACATTAAGGTTGCCAAAGTGTCCCTCTGATCACTTGAATACTCTTGGAGAGGGTAGAGGATAGGAGATTGAAGCGAGTGGGAGACACAGGTGTCAGCCATTTCTACCATCCTGAGAAGAGGGCAACCTTCTTCTTCATTCTCTCAACAAATTTACCCAGGCGTGGCAGTGTATGTGTGTGTGTGTGTGTGTGTGTGCGCGCACACACACGCACGCTGGAGAGAGGTGGTGAGTGGACAGATGTGGCTGCTGCCCCTCTCTGCTAGAGCAGGAACTGGGGGGTTGAACTGTCCCTGAAGGTCCCAAGCTGGAGGAAGGGTGAGCTCAGGTGGCTGTCAGCTGCCTGAGGACAGGCCCCACAGTGGCCTGCAGCCGGAGGTTGTGCAGGACCCTGCAGGTGCCGAGCCTGAGGGAATGGGAAAGAAGGAGGGCACAGCCTCCTTGCTTCCTCTTGGGCAGGTCCCTTGCCTGTGCTGCCCTCTCCTCCCTCAAGAAGCCTTCCCTGGCCCTCAGCCTCCCTCGCTCACCGAGGCTCAACACACAGACAACACTGAGAGCTCTAGCACAGGAGAGCAGTCTACACCTGGGCGCTGTGGGGGGCAGTCAGCCAAGTACCTGGGAAGGAGCAAATTTGCATAGCCTGCGAGTATCTCCTCCACAAGATTCTAATTAGTCAGCAGGGGAGAAACCTGGCTGACTCCACCTGAAACCAAGATCAAAGTTAACCTCAGGCCTGGGGGTGTAGCTCAAGGGCAGAGCATTTGCCTACATAGGTAAGGCCCTGGGTTCCATCTCCGGCCCTGCAAAGAAAAAAAAAAAAAAAAAAAAAACCACAGCAGTCACAGTATACAGATATACAGACATCATTTGCTTCTCAATATGATGCCAAGGAGGGCATGACTTCTCTTTGCGGTACTCATGCCAAAAATACATAGCCATAATTTATTCATAAGAAAACCTCAGACAAACGTGTCAACATCATGACAGACAGACTGAAAACTAGGAGACTAAATGCTACTCAGGAAGCTGGATTGAATTCTAGACCAGAAAAAAGAATATTAGGGAGTCAGTTGGCAGAATTTGAATAAGTTCTAAGAGTAATTAACAATCTTGTGTTGATGCTAATTTGTTGGTTTTGATAATTGTACGGTGATTATGAAAGATGTTGGGCAAGGGGTATATAGGAATTCTTTGTGCTATTTTGACAATTCTGAAATTATTTCAAAATGAAAAGTTAAAAAGTTCAATGAGACAAGCACCTTTCCTCTGTACCCGACACCACCTTGCGCCATGTCGAGGCCTGTTCTGTCTTCGTTTTCTCCCTACACCAGCTCTGTGCCCTTGGCAGGCTGTGGGTCTTGTAGATAAGGTTCCTCATCCACAGAAT